GAGAGACCGCTACACCAGGCCACCGAGAGATGGTCATGATAGAGCACTGAGAGACCGCTACAACAGGCTGCCGAGAGATGGTCATGCTGGGCTGTGAGACCACCACACTGGGGCAGGAGGATGCCTCACTGGGTGCACACACTGAGGCTTAGAGTCTGAGCCCGTGCTGAGACCAGGAGTTCAGAATGTCACCGAGAAGAAAGAAGAGAAAAATAAAAAATACAAAAGCGGAAGAAAAAGAAAAAGAAATGGAAGAAGTGGACAAGCTCCAGCTGAAGCGTCCTACTCTGCTGACATCTTCAGTGACCAAGAAAGGGAAAACAGAATATCGAGAAATGTAAAGGCGGAAGCAAAAGCTTCTTTAGATACAGCAGAGACAAATGTGCGTCCATTATAGATAGAGATAGGAAAGTTTATAATGGAGATTAGGGAAATAACAGAGGAACTTTAAAATATGTTGGCCTTTATGTTTGCCAGGACAGGGAGCATATCAATTATTGCCAAAATGCTTTAAGAAGTCAGGAATCCCAAATCTCATTCTAATGGCGCTGGGGGTGGGGGTAATCAGTAACTCAATCAGGGCAGAGTTCCTGAATGTAACTGGCCATTTAAAGACTGGCTGCTACCACTGAAATGGGACTTTGGAGCCCCTGGTGGCTGTAATGTGGAGTTTAAAGCATGCCAGAGTAGATTTGTTCTCAGTGCATTTCTTTTGGATAACCAGAGTACCACTTTGGGCACTTGAGGTACTCCTGTGGACATCATCCCAGCTCACCCTGATCGTGGAAGTTTATGTGAGCTTTGCTACCAACAACATATGTTACCTGATGTAGTATAGCTTATGTTATCCTTTATAATATAAGAAGCTAGGTATCATCAATGTGGTATTGAAGGATACAACAGACTTTTATTACAACTAGCTATTATGTAAAACATTACATTCACAAGCACATCAGTGGTTGGGCTAACATTAAACTGTTGTATAATGTAGTCTGCTTCTCATAGGATATCTTGCTGCAAGTGATCTGATTTCATATGAGACAGTTATACCCTCAGGTCACATGTTATGATATAGTGAGAATCGGGTATCCTTTGGAGGTAGGTGCCAGAGTTCATTTTGGGATGTCGGCTGCTATTAGGATGGTTAACTGTGGAGAAGATTGGATGTAAAAGGTGCATAAATCCCTTGGAACATCCAACTTGTCAACACTTGTCAAGAAGTGTTTAGAAGTGTCAGAAATTGTGGATGTGTCAAGGAGTGTCAACAAGATTCAGGAAATGTCTAGTCATGTCAACAGGTGTCAGCCTGTCAAGAGCTGTCAAGAACTACCAACATGTGCATTCATGGATGAGAGTGTTTTGTTCAGTAAAATATAACCTGCAATAGAGAATATCAAGTTAAATCGCTATTTTTGTTCTCACTTTTGCAAGGTTATTTGTGAATGCTAAGTGAGTTGGTATGTTAGGTGAGGGGATTAAGGGGATGAGTTGGACGTAGGCATTATGTTGGCATAAGGATATGAGGGACTATAGGGAATGGATATAGGGATCATTAGGTTGAAATGGGTTGGCATGGATGGGACATGTAGAGTGAGGGGGCAAATGCAGGAAGCATATCTCCCCTAGATTCAGGATCATAAAGGTTAGATCATTTCAAACTGAGATGAGGAAGAATTTCTTCAATCAGTGCGTGGTAAGTCATTGAAATTCTCTAACCCAGAGAGCTGTGTCATTGAGCACTTTCAATACATAACTCAATAGATACCTCAATAACAGTTACATAAAGTGTTATCATGGGGATAGCTTGGAAAAGCAGGATTGAGATAAGAGATCAGCCATGATTTAATTTAATGGTGAAGCAAGTTTGATGGGCTAAAGTATCTATACCTGTTCCTATATTCCTATGTGCAGCAAGTATGTGAGAAAATGCAATGTTCTCCGAAAGGAATTATGCCCTCTTTCCAGCATCAAGATAAAACAGAAGATTGGGCCCAAAAAGCCTCAACAGATTCCAATGCTTTTTTTCAAATTTATTCTTTCATGGATGTGGGCATCACTGACAAGGCCATTGCCAATTTGCTCTTGAACTCAGTGGCATGCCTGCCATGGTGGATGTAGGGAGGAGGTGATGATGGTGGAAGTAGGTGTTACATTGGTATTGGGGTAGTTGGTATGGGAGAACTTTAGGTTGAATGGTTTGGTGTGGGTGGGGCATGAGAAATGTGTGTGAGTGAGGGGCATAAAAGATGAGTGCTGCCTGTATGTTTAATATTTTTCTCCTTTCGGAGTTGTAAAGAACGCCCCTTAGATCTGGCCCCAAAACACCTTTGACAGAGGAAAGGCACCCTTTGGAATTGTGAACAGACATACTTGTACGTAAACTCTTTGGGACTTGAAAAGATGTCAAGGAACTGTTCAAAGAAAATGTCCACTTTTTAAAAAAAAACAAGTGATAGGTATTTCAGAGCACCTGGTTATAAAAAACCATTCTAGGCATAATGTAGATTACAGATTTTGCTGGGAAATATTTAGTATAAATTCCTGACTTTATCATTTGGGCCAATTTGTTAAGTTGCTTTGAAATGTGAGTATGGGGGATGATTGATAGAAACCTGCTGGACAGAAAAAATACGAAATGTCGAAGCACCAAGCAGAGTGAACAAACAAAGATATTTGTAGAAAGTAGTAAGGAAAAGACAGAGATTGGATCCAGCACATTTTAATGTGAAAAGATAAGGCACAGGACAGACAGCTATGGATTGTGAGCCAAGGACATGTTTTCAGGAAAAGTGCCCATCATAATCATCACATTATATATGATGTATATAACAGATTTGTCTCATGCATTACAGATTAATTAGAATTATTATTTATATCTTACAATACTTGATGGAAACTATTAATGTGTTGCGTAGTATTTGTTATGCCTTAGTGATTGCATTAAATACTATCCAAATTCAATACGAATTGTTAAATTTGCCAGATTGAATTTAGCATAAACTACTGAATGTGCCATTTAGTAACTAGTATAATTGACTGATTGTATCTGTAATATTTGACATGAATTGGTTAACGTCTTATTTAGTATTTGATATCAATTACTGTTTGTGTCCTTTAGTACTTGTGGTGAATTACAAATAGGGTGATTACAAACAGGGAGAAACACCAATTTTGTCATTTAAGTGTTGATGTGATTACTGGCTGTAGCTTGTAGTTATTAATAAGAAAGATTGAATGTGCTAGGCCAAATTTCCTATTACTTACTGCTCCTATAATAGGGCAAGATTTTGAATTATATATTATTGACTTGGTACCATGCATTGTTTCACCCGTGTTTCTAATTGTGTTCACATAGTATTTGATATGAATTCTTGATTGTCTTCAGTTAATCATAGAATCCCTACAGTATGGAAGCAGGCCATTCAGCCCCTCGAGTCCACACCAACCCTCCTAAGAGCATCCCACCCAATTCCTGTAAAGCTGCGATTCCCGTGGCTAACCCACCTAGCCTGCGTGTCCCTGGACACTATGGGCAATTTAGTATGGTCAATCGACGCTAACCTGCATGTCTTTGGACTGTGGAAGGAAGCCAGAGCACCTGGAGGAAAACCACACAGACACGGAGAGAATGTACAAACTCCACACAGACACCAAAGGTTGGAATTAAACCTAGGTCCCTGGCGCTATGAGGTAGCAGTCCTAAGCAAGTGAGCCAGCATGCTCGGATTTAACAGCACTAATAATAGTGACACCGCAAGGGCTCTCTGTCATTGCTCCATTGAAACCACAGTAATTCCTGGAGTGTCCTGTCCAGTTGTCTCGTGTTTCATTATGGAAGCCTGAGATCTATGTTTTAAAATGAAAATAAAGAACTGTGCATGCAGGAAATCTGAAGCAAGCAAAAACAGAAAGTGCTGGAGAAACTCAGGAGATCTGGTAGCATCTGTGAAGGGAAAAACTGTGTTAATGTTTTGAGCCCAGAAGGATCAAAATGTTAGCTCTGTTTTCTCTCCCCAGGTGTCGCCAGACCTGCTGAGTTTCCCCAGCACTTTCTATTTTTATTTGGTAATTGATCTATGCCCACTGTGCTAATTGGTTAAGGCTAGATATGGACTCAAAGAAAAGTAAACAAACTGCAAAAGTTACAGGAAAGCTAAAAGCTAGGGGTAGAAGTATGGAAGCATTTTAAAGCACTAAACAGAATCTGTTACATAAATTAACCCACATAGTGAACATCTTGAAGTCGCTCCCCAAACTGCAAACAATTAGCAATCACTGAATTGTTGAGAACTGGTCCTTTCAGGCTTTTAATCACTGTGTGAAACCCTTGAAAAAATTGCAACTTGTTGAATATATAAGTGGGTTTTTAATGTGTCAAATTTACAATTACAAATGAAATACCCCTGTGGTATTAACAAATCTGTACACGTAGAATCTCAATTTTAGAGTAATAAGAAAACTATTTTTAATAATGACTTCTTTTAAAAGAGTCCTTCTGATTTTTCACCTTTGCCTTAATCCATGTGTATGTCTCAATCATTTATTTCGCTTTCTGCAAAAATTTCATTGAAAGCGAATAATCCTTGAGAGTGACAGGATAGATTGAGAGGTGAGTAAAAAACATAAGTGGCCCTGAGCTTTAAAAATAGAGGAATGGATGACAAAAGCAGGGAAGGTTTGACAAAACTTATTGCTGGCACCATTCTCATGGAAGGATCTAGAAAGGATATGGAAAAGACTTATGACAATGTTTCCAGGTATAAAGGACTAGGTTGCATGTTTAGATTAAAGTAACTGAGGATAAACTGCTCAAGGAGAAGACTGAGAGAATATTTGATAGTGGGCTCTAGAATGATAAAGGGTCATCAATAGATGAGAAGGAACTGAAAGGCTGAGGACCAAACTTGCCCTTGAAAAGAACTTGTTTATCTTGGAAGGGAGAACAAAAGAACACAATATTACTTAAAAGGAGAAAAACTGCAGAAAGCTGCAACACAAAGAGACGCAGGGGAACTTGTGCATAAAACACTGAAAGCTAGCACACAGGAGCAGCAGGTAATCAGGAAGGTGAGAGTGGAATGTGGCCCTTATTTCAAGGGGGTTGGAGTACAAGAGTAGGGAAGTCTTACTGCATCTGTACAAGGTACTGGTGAGAACACAACGGGAGTGCTGAAACTAGTTTTTGTCCCCTTATTTAACAAAAGATATTATTTCATTGGAGGCAGTTCACTAGGATGATTCCTGGTGTGGAGGGATTGTCTTATGAGCAAAGGTCAAACATGTAGGGACTGGAGTTTAAAAGAATGAGATGTGATCTCATTGAAATATATAGGATTCTTAAGGAGTTTGATGGGGTGAGTGCTGAGAGGATGCTTTCCCTCATGGAGTCTCTACTGTGGGGAAGCAGGCCATTTCACACTGACACTCTGAAGAGCACTCACCCAGACCCAGCTCCCTACCCTGTAACTCCACATTTACCATGGCTAACACATTTAGGCTTCACAACCCTAGACACTATGGCCAATTTCCCACAGCCAATCCACCTAACCTGCATGTTTTTGGCCTGTGGGAGCCACGCAGACACAGGGAGAGTGTGCAAACACCACACAGACAGTCACCCAAGGCTGGAATCAAACCCAGGTCCCTGGTGCTGTGAGGCAGCAGTGCTAACCACTATATGACCATACCACACACATGGGAGATTTGAGGACTAAAGGGCATAATCTCAGATTAAAGGGGCTCCAATTTAAGACTGAGATGAGGTGGAATTTCTTCTCTCAGAGGACTGTGAGTCTTTGGAACTCCTTGCCACAGAGAGCTGATGGGGCAGAATCTCTATGTACATTTAAAGCTGAGATAAATTCTTGATCAGTCAGGAAAACAAGGGTTACAGAGAAAAGCCAGGAAAGTGGGTGTGAGGAATGTCGGATCAGCAATGACCCTATTGAATGGCTCTTCTCATTGTGAATTACTGATTGCACCGTGCAGTATTCATTGTGAATTATTGATTACACTGTGCAGTATTCAGTGTGAATTACTGATTACACTGTGCAGTATTCATTGTGAATTACTTATTGCACTGTGCAGTATTCATTGTGAATTACTGATTGCACTGTAGGGTGTT